CTACTTAAGCCTGGTTTTCTAAAAGGAAATGTGGGAGGTAGCTTGTGCTACAGCTTCAAGCAGCTTGTGGAAGACAATGTTAGTCTTCTTCTACCCAACCAGGCCATCACATCACTACAAGAGACTTGCAATGTCTCTTTCATTCTCTTAAAGGATCAGTTCTACAACTCTGAGATTCATCCACCAGTTGAGAGGAGCAAAACTTGTGAAAAAACTGGTCCAAGTAGACCGCAAGATGAGCCTCTTGATGTTGAGTCTGATGGTGATCAGCCCTAAAGACCCCCAAGAAGATATGGTGCAAACAGGTACCATTTTGATCCCAATGTTTGGGGGAACACCTGATTATCATGGTCGCAAGCTGTATGAGAGAACAAGTGGGGTTCAGCAGTGGTGTAAGTGGCAGGACAAGACCATCCACAAGCTTCTTACTGTGTGAGGCAACTCAAGAAGAAGGTCAAGAAGCTCACAGCACCTGCTTCACCAGCAAAAGACTCGGCCACAGATACAGCACCGGTTCAAAGAGAAGAGATAGGAGAGAGTTCCACAGCTTGTGCTCCAGAGTTGCCACCGGGTAAAGAAGATTGGATTGATCCAGCAACAGCCTTTCTCCCTGAGTCACCAGAAAGCAGCCCACCAAGGGAGGCATCTCCATCCTGTTCCACCTCCAACCCTTCATACTATGTGGGGTCTGACCTCAGTGATTAGGTACCATCTCCAAACCCTTTGTATATTTGCATCTAGATCTTGTTTTTCACTTTGCATTTTTTTTTGTTTTGCACTCCTTTCTCATGCTTTTATAACACAGGAGACTATGTTATTTAAGTGTGGGGGAGGGGTTTTATGTTTCACTAATCATTTTTTCTTTGATCTTATTTTCCATTTTGAGTTTTGAGTCTCATTCCTTCATATAGATGCATCTAAATGCATATAAAAAAAAAAAATCAAATAATCAAAAAAAAAAAATTCACAAAAAATGTTCAATTTAGTTGCATTCACATTTTTAGGATTAAGTCTAGCTGCATAATCATATAGGTTGCATCACTGCATGGGAGTAATGATAGGTTTCCTTGAGAGAAAAACACATTCAGAGCTTAGTTCATGGCCCAAATTGTTAGTTCTTTTATGCTTGCAAGATTTGAAATGATCTGGATTGTTGATACAAGCCTGAAATTGAACTCAGCTCTAGCAAGTGAAAACCTTTAAACCCGACTTTGAATTATCTTGTGATGCATTGTTTGAATGAGCATTGCGGGGGAATGGCGAGAGTAAAGTGTGAGGGAATGGTTTGTTGATGAGAGCTAAAAAGAGAGAGTTGTGTGGAAAGTGGAGGATGAGAGTTAGGGGATGGAAAAGAAAATAAAATGGATGGGGGTCTAGTGTTCAAATAAAAGAGAGCTCTAAGTGTTCAAAAGAAAGTGTCTAGCCTCTACGCAAAAAAAAAAAAAAAAAAGAAAGAAAAGAAGCCAAAAGGATCAAGTGTCTAAAGAGATAAGAAAAGAGGCTGAAAAGTGTTAAGTGAAAGAGAGCTGTGTGTAAAGGTTGGACCCCAATGCCAATCATTGTGAATGAAAAAGAAAAAAATGAATCCCCTAGTGAGAGAAAATGAGTGAGAAGAGAGTTGTGAGGTTCAGTGTGAGAGCTTGGGTTAGAGGCATCTTAGGTAATGAGCGTGAGATGAGTTCTTGCCCTTGTATACATCGGTTGCTCTTTACCTTTAGCCTTCTGCATGGTTTGATAATTCAAAGAGAGATCCCCTTGCTGCATTGAACCTGCATGTACATTAAAAGAGATCATTTTGGTCTCTTGACCTCACCCTTAGCCAAACCTTGCTTGTTTGAACTTGAATCATTTGATTCACATGACAAAAGAGCTTAATGAATATTAAAGGTCTGAGGAATATGAATGCTTGTGGAGATCATTGTTTGAACTTAATGAGTCAAAGTAAAATCTTGCATAGCATTTCAGAATTAGCAACCTGGACCCTGAATTTGAATTTTTTTTTGTGATTACTTCTCTCTCCCGATAGGAAATGCAAACTCCCAAACAACAACCCTCTTGATATGTTCATAAAATGCATCATTTAGCTTGCAAGTTTTAGTCCAAATCATGTCTTATATCATGCATTTTAGGTCTTTAGGCATTGTTTTAGGACCTATGGGTTTGCATTAGGTCCAAATGCGTCTTTGCATGTTTGGAGTGTCTATCAGGTGCTTTTGGAGGCTATTTAGAGTAGAAAGAGTGAACCAGGTGTAGGAATGGGTTTTAAAAGATCAAAAATGGTGAAAACCAAGATTTGGAGCCCATCGGCAAAAACCATGCACCGCAGGAAGTAAAACACCGGCTAAAATCCTTACCGGGTGAACTTTTATCGGCCAAAAATCCATACCCCGGGCAAGGAGTTTTATCGGGTGCTGCTTGTGTCTGGATCGTGCAACTATCGGCTAAAATGCTTATCAGGTGGAGATTTGCTCGGTAAAATGCTGTACCGGATGAGGAGACTTTTGGCTTAAGTTCTATGCCGAGTGAGTTTGGTTTCTTCGGCTAAAAAGCTTACCGGGGGAACAGATTCTCGGTTAAAAAACTTACCACGGTACATGAAGACTCGACCAAAATCTCTGGTTCCCGACACACATCAAAGATCAAGCCGTCCGGGGAGCCTTAAAGTCGGATTTGATTTCCGAGGTCTTCATGAAAGTTGGAGGGGATAGACTCGTGGTTCCAGAACAGTTAGAATCAGTAGATTCGGATCAGTGAGATGACAGTTATACCCATCAGAAGACGTACTGTCTCACTTGCATTCCATACCGATCTGGTGTCCTTCAAAGGTGACGCTGGACGATGCCCTTCCTTTCCGATTCAGTTTCCAGGGCCTTCATCAAGATTCAAGAGCTTCAAATTGTCTTTCCAGAACACTTGAGATCACACGATTTGAAGCTATGTTATGGGCGATAACGTTTCCGGAGTAAACGTGGGTCCAGAAGCCTCTCTCTGATCGTTCCCATGCACTGTAAAGAATGGTCGTTTGGGAGACCTTCCACTCCCCGGATACAATTGGGTTCTTTATCAAAGTATGATCTGTTTGAATGATCTTTCACGTAGACTTCATTTCATATCATTTGAAGTTGTGAGCTGAGAGTTACAAGAAGCAGAAGGCACCTATGTCAGTTCGGGTTTCAAGGAGCAAATTTGTGCTAAGTGTTTCACAAGAACCTCGGCTTAGCCACCTCGTGATACCTGTACCGAGGGATATATACACAAAAGTTTGGGTCTCTACCTCGACTATAAACCTCGCTATAGCCCAATCCGAGGCATTTTGCCATCATGAACTTCCCCTGAAACGACTAAGTATCAAGGCTGTGATCTTCGAAATTAAGAAATTAGTGTTGGGAAAGACCCTCGACCAAAATACCTCGGTATGGCTATACCGAGGCTATTTTTACGAAATATTTTGGTCAAGCCTCAGTCATTTACCTCGCCTAAAGCTGTACGGAGGCAATGCATGGAAGGAGGTTCAAGACCTTGAATTTGACTAAGTGTAAAACACCTTGGCTCAAGACCCTCGGTTCAAGGTCAAGCCGAGGGTACTTGGGAATGAACTTGGCCAAACCTCGACTAAAGACCTCAGGATAGCTTATACCGAGGCTTTCTCATGCAGAGTTCAGCTCACAAACACTTCTCAAATCCAACCTTTTCACGTGAAGATCAAAGACATATGTTCATGCATGTTCTTAGTGATGTACATTGATCCACTCTCAACCCAGCAACACAAGACCCTCGCCTAAAAGACCTCGGCACCAGACTTATCCAAGCCAAGGGTTTGACTCAAAGACCCAGTAAAACCGGTTCAGTACCCGGTTTGTTCCGGGCTGACCGGTTCTCTTTTAAAAGTTATAAATACTATTTTGGCAAAAACCCTAAGGATCTTTTATGCCATTTTCGTTTTCTTTTGTCTTTAGTGTAAAAAACTTGGTTCTAAGAGATATCTCTCATTTCTTAATCGATTTTGAGAGTGTTTCTTTGCATCAAATCATTTCTCCATCTCATTCAAAGCTTCTAATCATGCTTAATATCACTCCTTGTAAAAGATCAAGTGTGTTAACTATGATTAGTGAGTAGATCCATTTTAAGGTCTTAGATAAGTAGGTTTAGGGTGCTAAGATGCTAGATTAGAGAGTTTAGGGGTTAGATCTTGCATCATCCATTCTCTAACAAGCTGTTCTTAAAGCTAGATCTTTGCACATCACTCTGGTCTAGATCTTGGGCATTTCCTCACCCAAAAGGTATTTGGAGAAATGCCTGAACCAAGCTTGTTAGAGGTTTAAGCATTTCTCATCATGAGAGTGATTGTTTAATGCTTAAATGACTTATTAGACTGATTCTTAGTGCTTGTTGATTCATGCTTCTCAAATTGAAATTTGGTATGAAAGAGGATTAGCATACGAGTTTAATGCCTTCATGAGAGGATTATCTTACTTAAGACTCTATGTTAAATGGTTTTGCTTGATTGTATGTTCATTTAGCTTTCTAGTTTAGCATTAAAGCACCCCTAACCACCTATTTTGTCTAGGGCCTTTCCCCCATCATATTCATATCATCATCACCTGTTTATTGTTATTGCTTGATTTAGTTTACTTTAATCACTCGTCATTGTATTGTTTAGTTTTCAGTTTAAGCACTTGTTACCAATAAAATCACTCATATTGCTTGGATTAAGAAACTATCTCATAGATAAGTGTCTAAACCACATTGTTGGATTGATAACCCTTTATTCTACAACTGATTAAGGGGATTGATAACCTCCTTAAGAGTCCTAAAACGTTTAGTTACCAAGATTAGAAGGCACATACACCACCTAGAACCCGAGGTCACTCAACAAACACATCCAAAACATCCTAAAACATAAAAAGAAAAGATTAAAAGACTATGTACAAGGATAAGCTTTTGGGGCTTCTCCCAAGAGCACTTTGTTTTAAGTCACTAAGTTTGACTTTTCATACTCTTTAGTGAGTTTGGGGATCATCAAGAGGGAATGAGATAGCTCCCTCCTTGATTGCATTGACCAGATAGTCCTTCAACCTTTGCCCATTGACAACAAACCCATTGCCATCCTTGCCTTCAAGAACAACAGCTCCATTGCTTCTCACATCCAAGATCTTAAAACGGCCTGACCACCTAGACTTTAACTTGCCAGGAAAGAGCTTGAGCCTTGAGTTAAACAACAGCTTCATAGCTTCTCCTTCCTTAAAGTCCCTCTTCATTATCTTCTGATCATGCAAGGTATTGGTCCTCTCCTTGTAGATTCTTGAGCTTTCATATGCATCAAGCTTAATCTCTTCAAGCTCATGAAGTTGCAAGAGCCTTTTCTCATGGACAGTCTTTATGTCAAAGTTCAGGAGCTTGACAGCCCATAATGCCTTGTACTCAAGTTCCACAGGAAAATGGCAGCTCTTCCCACAAAGGAGATTGAAATGAGAAGTTCCAATAGGAGTTTTGAAAGCTGTCCTGTAGCCCACAATGCATCATCCAGTTTCTTGGACCAGTCCTTCTTTAATGAGCTCATTGTCCTCTCTAGAATGGCTTTGATCTGTCTGTTTGAAACCTCCACCTGACCACTTGACTGAGGGTGTAAGGGCTAGCCACCTTATGCTTTACCCCATACTTCTTGAGAAGTCCTTCCAATGTCTTGTTAACAAAGTGGCTTCCACCATCACTTATAACAACTCTGGGTACTTTAAACCTTGGAAAGATGGTTCAAGTACCAGGATAAAACAATCCACAAGATGGCAAAGTGCATCAAGGAGATGAAGAAGAGGATCAAGAAGCTTGAAAACCCTTGCAAAGCTGGGTCTCTAACACCGGTTTCAACAAAGACCAGAGAAGAGGTTGGAGAGAGTTCCACCAACTGCACGGCTCTGGTCCCATATGGCACAGCATGGGTGGATCTTGAAGACGGTTCTGATGAGGCAAGCCATCACTCCTGGGAGACACCATCCGGTCACACTTCAAACCCCTCTTACTCTTTGGGGTCAGACTTCCACAGCTCTTAGGTAACACTCCACACCTTGTACATATGCATGTAGATTTTCTTTTCCTCTTTGCATTTTACTTGTTTGTTTTGCTTTTACTCCTTTCTCATGCTTTTATAACACAAGGGATTGTGTTATTTAAGTGTGGGGGAGGAGTTTCATCTTTCACTAATCATGTTTTCTCTGTTCTTATTTTATACTTTGAGTCTTGAGTCATATTCTTGCATGCATTCATGTAGTTTCATCTAAGTGCATATTAAAAACCAAAAAAATTGAAAAATCAAAAAATTTTCACAAAAAAATGTTCATGCAGTTGCATTCTCATTTTTTAGGATTGAGTCTAGTTGCATATTCATGTAGGCTGCATCAATGCAAAGGAGTGATGATAGGTTTTTCCTTGAGAGAATATCACTTTAAGAATTCGGTTCACTGCCCTAGTTTCTAGTTCTTTGCTCCATGTAAACAAGAAAGAAATCAAGACTGATCCATGCTTTGAACTTGTTGAGTGAATCAAGCTATGATTAGTTCCAGCCTTATCTAAGTGAGAACCATAATTTGAGAATCTAATTAATATTGCTTGTGCATGTCATTGTGAACTCATGGGTACCCTTAAAATATTTGAGCTCTCTTATCCCTTTTACAACTCTTTGCTAGCTCGAATAGCTGTTCTCTCACCTTGAGACAGTTCCGTGCCTTTAACCAAACCTTCCTTGAAGCCTAAAACACTATAGTGAGAGATGTGAGGCCTTTTTCTGAATAAACTTGACAGAAAGTGTTGGGTTTAGGGCGGCAAGAGTAGGGTCTCATGTAGATCTAGCTCAGCATCATGAGCCTAGAGTAGGCTAGGAAGAGTTCTTGAGAAACACTGAGTAGAAAAGAGGAAATTTGAGATGAAAACCAGGGGTTGAAAGAGAAAAGAAAGCGGTTTGGGGTCTGCTGTTTAAAGAAAGAAAAGCTCTTGTGTGTTGAAAAGAAAAGTCTAGCCTCTAACTAAAAGGAAAAGAAAAGAAGCCAAAAGGGCTCAAGTGTTTGAAAAGAAAAGAAAAGAGGCTACAAAGTGTTATATGAGAAAGAGCTAAGTGGAAGATTCAGACCCCAAAGCCTAAGTTTAAAGTTGAAAAGATGAACACCCTGGTGAGAAAATAATGAGAGTGAAGTGAGGAGAGGGTTGATAAGGCAATGAATGTCTTGAGAAAGGAGTAGCTAGGATGTAATCTTCATGGGAGTAGAGTTAAGGTGAAAGACCGATTTGGGGCATTGGGTAGATGGGATTCTGCTCTTGTATGCACCAGTTGCCTTTTACCCTTAGCATTCTAATAAAGTTTATTCCTTCTTGAGTGATCCCTTGAGCTGCATGGAAACCATAAACATTAAATGAGATCATCTTTGTCTCATGACCCTGTCACAAGACAAGTGAGTTCACATGATTTGCATATGCATGATTAACATGAGCTTTAATGAATGTCATAAGGTTGGAACTATGGCTGTTTGTGAAAACTTAAGCTTGAGCTTGATTCATTTATTGATAAGTATGGCTAAAGCTTTGTGAGTAATCTTGTTTGCAATGCATCTTAGAATTAGCAACAAGAACAGTGAGCCTTGAATTCTTTTAGTGATACACTCTCTCATAAAGAAATATGAACTCTCAATGCATCCAACCTCTTTCTCTCATTTGCTCTTTTTGCTTGAGGACAAGCAAAGGACAAGTGTGGGGGAGTTGATATGTTCATAATTTGCATCATTTAGGTTGTATATTTCATTTCAAATCATATCTTATTTCATGCATTTTAGGTCTTTAGGGTTTGTTTTAGGACTTAGGAGTTGCAATAGGTCCCAATGAGTCTTTACATGTTTGGAGTGTTTATCAGGTGTATTTGGAGCTATTTGGAGTTGAAAAGGTGGATCCAGGAAGAGGAATGGCGATCAGGACTTGAAAGATGGTGAAAATGTGTTTTTGGAGGTACTCGGCGATTCTCACGTACCGCAGGCAACTTTTATCGGCAATTTTCATGTACCGCGAGTGAGTCACTCGGCCAAAACGCGTACCGCTGCTAAGGTTTCTCGGCCAAAATTTCCGGGTATAGACACATCTCAGAAATCGCGTTACCCGAAGGTCTTGCCGGTCAATTCTGTTGTCGGGTGCTTCTTCAAAGTTGGAGCCGATTGGATCATGGTTGCAGAGCAGGTATAATCATATGATTTGGAGCCGTGAGCAGAGAGTTAAGCTCGTCGGAAGGCACGCATGTCTCGTTGCCGTTTTGGACCGACCCGATGAGCTTCGAAGAATGCGAAAGACGATGCACTTCCAGACCGATTCAGTCTACAAGGCCTTTATCAAGATCCGAGATATTTGAGTCCTTTTTCCAGAACGTTTGAGATCATTCAATTCGGAGCTATGAGCAAGAAGATAAAGTTTCTGGAATGGATGCATGTCTAGAAGCCTCTTTCTGACCGTGTCAATGCACTGCAAAGATGAGCCCTCCAGGGAACCCTACACTTCCCAAGCGCCGAAGGTTTCTTCACCAAAGTTGAAGATGTCTGATTGTTCTGTCCACTGAAGTTGGAATCGCACCATTTGGACCAGTATCTTGGGAGTTACTCTCCCACGAATGTGAAGTGGTCCAATGAGACCTGAAGCCTGCGAGATGGTCTTGCGACTTGGTTGACTCGCAATGCCTGGAGATCAATGCCTGGGAGTTGAGCTGCGTGTTGAGATGTGCGAGTAAGGTATCACTGGGTAAGGTTTAAGGTTCCCGAGCAAGAAAAATACTAAGTCCACAACCGTGCGACTTGAGCATGCGAGTTGGCCAGGCTTGGAACTGAGCCGCATGAAGACTCGCAATTTACACCGACTTGAGCATGCGACTTGGGAGTGATGGAGACCATCCCACACATATCTCTGAAGGCCCCTGCTACATGGTCGTGTGAGTTAAGGAGCAAAGAGAACTGAGCCGCATGAAGGTTCGCAAATCACACCGAGAGAGTAATGCGGCTGAGCTTATATGGGTTCTATCTCGTTCAAGCTTCTTTCTTTGGCTGTGCGAGTTAGGCATGCGACTTGGGACTAAAGGAGGACCAAGTCGCACACATGTTCTCCCCAGATTTCGTCTTGGTCATGCGAGTTGAAGAGGAAGAGGGCTGAATCGCACAAAGACTCGCAGAACACACCTAGTTGGGCATGCAGCTGAGACTAAAGGACTTAAGGGTCACAAGACTGCTTCTTTGGCTGTGCGACTTGGGCATGCGACTTGGGAGGCTCCTGACCAACTCGCACACTCGTCATTTTATCCATTAAAGCCGGGTCAGGACCCGGTTTGTTCCGGGCTGACCCAGTCCGTTTTAAAGACCTATATATAGTTTTTAGGGTTTTATCCCAAGGACTTAAGCTTTATTCCATATTCTCTTTGCCTCTTTTGTGTAAGAAAACTCCTTTTTGAAGAGCACGGGTACTTGAACGAGGAAAGCGAGGTGTACAAGCGTCTTTTGGACCAACCGAGGGAACTTGGAGCTGAGGCAAGGTTTTTGGAGCTCAGGAAGAGTGGCCTCGACATCTTAGACAGCGAGGGATCCACGGAAACAGAAGAGACACCTCAGGATATCATGGCCGTGACAACTCATACTGAGGCCGATGGTAAACCGCGCGAGAATGAAGCAAAGGCCGAGGAAGCTGTTCCAGGCCAATGCAGCTTTGATGCCGATTGGAATGAGGCAGACGCACCCCCTGTTGAGCTAAAGCCTCTACCAACAGGGCTCAGGTATGCGTTCTTAGGCCTGAACTCTACTTTTCCTGTGATCATAAACGATAGCATGCTTGAACATGAAGAACGTGCATTGCTTAATGAAATAAGGAAATTCAGGAGAGCTATAGGGTATTCCTTGGCTGACATTAGAGGAATCTCTCCTGATATATGCACCCACAGGATCCACCTGGAGGACCAAGCCATGTCCTCTATTGAGCACCAACGTCGCCTTAACCCGAACCTCAAAGAGGTGGTTAAGAAGGAGATACTAAAGCTCCTTGAGGCAGGGATCATATATCCAATCCCTGACTCTCGGTGGGTGTCTCCTATACACGTTGTGCCCAATAAAGGTGGGATCACGGTGGTGAAAAACGATAAGGATGAACTCATAGCCCAAAGAACTATAACCGGCCATCGCATGTGCATTGACTATAGGAAATTGAATTCTGCATCAAGAAAATATCATTTTCCTTTACCATTCATTGATCAAATGCTTGAACGGTTAGCTAATCATCCTTATTTTTGTTTTCTCGATGGATACTCGGGGTTCTTTCAAATACTTATAGACCCCCAAGATCAAGAGAAAACGACATTCACCTGCCCTTATGGCACTTATGCTTATAGAAGAATGCCATTCGATTTGTGTAATGCACCGGCCACTTTTCAAAGATGTATGATGCACATTTTCTCTGATCTAATTGAAGAGAAAGTTGAGGTGTTTATGGATGACTTCTCCGTATACGGCTCCTCTTTCTCCGAATGTCTTGCTAATCTTTCTCAGGTTCTCAAACGATGTGAGGAGCATAGGCTTGTCTTGAACTGGGAGAAGTGTCATTTCATGGTCCAAGAAGGCATTGTCTTGGGACACAAGGTATCATAGAAAGGCATCGA